TGTGACATAAACGAGGTTTGCCCATGAGTGAAGATCGGAATCCGGGAATTCCGGGAATGAGTGGACACGCTAGCGTTGAGACCGATAAGAGTGTGCGAATTACCGCGCGAAAACTACTGTAACAGGAAGCAAGGCAACCGACGGAAGGACAGGTACTAACGGGACGTCTGAGGAACAAGACCAGGGAGACGGCTCCTTCTCAAAAGATTCGCGTCGACGAGAACTTATGCGAGCGAGATGAAAAGGTGGAGACGTGAGAACTGATGGAAGAAACTCGTTTGTGTATGCGCAAGAAAGCCTTCATGTGACGATAGTTCTATGAGGTTGAGATTCTCGATCCTATCTTACGACAGACAGATGTCTAGGCTGCTTGTTCTCGAGTGTCGGGGATTCCCTGAGTCGCGATTATGGAGGGAAAACGCGTTTCTCAACCCCGATTTCCTCGACTCTGACGCGGGCGGGACTAAGGGAGAGGTCGCAACCGTAGTATCGACAATAAGTGCCTCGGTTGCAGTATGAGGAGGATGCAGTGTAGTTGGGGCGTGATGGACTAGGTCCACAGAATGCGATTTGTGCTGTGAAATAATATTTGCAATGGGAACTATTGTGCAGGGGGAAACTTGTAGTGCAAAACATAGATATTCTTTATCGAAGTTTGTTGTTGCCGTATTCGACATCTTTCTATAACGAAAATTACGAACCTTGAGAAACTCGACTTGAAAGCTGGAGCTATCATCGTTCGCGACCAGCTGCAGAACTTGACGAACGCAGAAAGTGTCTGGTTTCCAGGCTAAGCGAAGAATTGTGGGTCTCGCAACTGGAGATCCCATCCAAAAGCAACATGAGAGCTGATGCACACAGCTCCGACCTTGGACTGAGAGGGGGAAAATTAGGCGTGAGCAAGGCGTGGACAAGGCGTGAGTTAAGTAAACCAGCAGCATCTCTAGTTTCATTTCATGACCTTGCTCTTATCACCAATGATGTTCGTGACATCTGAGGCATTGCAGTGTTCTCCAGCTCCTCGCTGTTGCTATTTAGCCATGATGACTACCAGTAGTCAGATTTCGCGACCCAGTTTCCAGTACTTAAGTCTGGTTTTGGTGGTTACGCCATGGATTCCCAGTCTGGCGGGCCTAGAGTCGGCAATAAACGTGGCCGGGATTTTGACAAAACTGGAACAAAGAGGAATGCTAAGAACAGAAAGCGTGATAGACGTCGGAATCGTGGTGGAAAGTGCAGTGAAGGAAATAGAAATGGTGGAAACGGAAATAACGAGAGTCGAACTGGTGAGAGTGATGGGATCAAAGGATGCAGTTACAGAGGAGAGAAAGCGGACGATGTTATTAGAGACGGGGTAGAGAACGGGAAGGATGGAAACAAAAATGGAGGAAAAGGGACGGACAAGTCAGAGTCAAGTGGCCCGAGCTTTTGGACGTTCATGCCGAACGACAGACCACTCACGAATCAGTTTCAAATGAGAAGATTCGTCCTCGCAATGGCAGCTCACGATGCTTCAGGTACTATATTAGGAAGTACGAGAGTTGGATGTGGCAAGGAGCACCGGCTTCTAACACATATTCGTCCTTGCAGATTTGGTCATTGATCTCGCGAACGACAAGTATTTCGGCAGGAAGAAGCTGATCAGTATCTGTCAGGAAGCTGTTGCATGCGGTTCTTCAGATTCAGTGGCAGCTGGAAACAATTCCAAGAGAGTTTTCTTCCAGAGTGTTTTGTTGCCATTGTTACGAGTCGTTTGCCAGGTACCAGTTCGTGATTCTGCTCGTATTCATTTTATCTTCGTTAGATCCTGAACATCCCACGTTGGTTTATGTTGCGTTGCATTTTCAGCCCGAGTTTTGCAACAACCCTGCTTCGAGCAAGGTTAACACGACCCTCGCAACCATGGTTGAAGTGGAAGGGTTTCAAGAATACCTCGTCAACTGCATGAGGCTTCTGACTCAAAGGGGAACAATAGGCGACCCCGAGAAAAAAGACGACGGCGTCAATGACTGGGACACGGCATTTCAGATCATCATCAACTTTTTTCACTTGACAATGGACCGTTTCCACTCCTTGTTTGACGCCACACAAGCCAGCACTGACATGCAGCAGCTTGAAGCCATGCTTCAGAAATGGCAGATTGAGAAGCCAGTGTCTGATGAAAAGTACCATAGCCTCTACTCAGCCATTCGCAGGCTGAGGAAGTCTCTTGATAGGCGCAGTCATTGCAAAAGACAGAGGCAGAGCACGGAGATTGGCCAGACGCCAGTTGAAGTCTCCTACGAGCCAGGTTCGTCATGGAACAGGAAATAGGAATTTGGACTTCATTTTGTGTCTTGTGAAATTTTATGACATTGTTGTGCTTCGCTGTTGCAGGTCATCAGCTTTTGACCAAGCAAGCTATGGATGGTCCGGGTGAACTCAGCTTAGCTGGCCACCCGAGGCATGATAATGACCATGCAGACATATCAGCCGTAAGATGTTACCATGTGACAAACATTTCCATGACAATTTCTGTTTCTAAATTGATACGGACATATTCTCCTAACATATCCTTATTTGCTATGCAGATTTCCGTGGCTCCAACCATGGAAGAAGTTCTTTGCGATGTCCCTCCTTATCTGCCCCGCAATAATGTGGAGGAGCGTCATCACCTCCCTGCTGGCTCTGTAGGACGCCACGTGGACATCCAGTTCCGCCTTCTCAGGCACGACCTCGTTGCTCCTCTCTGGAATAAGGCCTTCTTTCTGTTGGAAAGTCTGAAGCGCGAATGCTCCACTCGTGAAAGCAGAAGCGCCAGCAGGGAAGGGGCCATGACGGGACTTGTGAAGGCAGACCGAAGCTTGTTGAAGGGTTTGGCTGTAAACATGAAAGGAATGGTGGGGTTCTCTTCAGACGACATGGACATGTACATGCTTCAGGATGTCCGGGTCCTGTCAATCAATGCAGATAAGAAGAACGGTGTTTATTTTTTTATCGACTTCTTGGAGCCACCTATTTCACAAGGTCACCGTGCTTGCAGCAGGTACGTGAAAATACCAGAGTGAATCATGTCCTGTGTCTGTAATGCTCGTATATGGTAGTAGATTGACCCACTGTACACTAAAATCCTGTTTGATGTTTCAGGATGGAGTTCTGGGAGCATACGAAGAGGCTCCAGAATGGCTCTCTGGTTTGCCTGTGGATTCAGGACATCCATCAAGATAACATGGACGCTCCAGGTCGCCAGAAGCTTGTCTTTGCAACCATCACAGCCCGAGACACGCGAAGGCTAGCCAATCAGAGGCCTCAGATTGGAGTCCAGCCTTGTCAAAATAATCGGTTCAGTGCAGAGCTGCTGGAGCTCATCTCCCATGATGGCTCTGCTAACAAGCGAGTTTTCATGCTGGAAGCTCATGGGAGTTATTTTGCCTATGAGCCGATTCTAAAGGCATTGCAGAACATCAGTGAAGCATCCTTTCCGTTCTCGGAATACATCTGTGATGCACCTGACGGCGCTTCTGCCAGCCCTAAGACCAAGCTTCCAGCATATGTCGATGACAGCATGCAGTAAGTGATTGGAAGGAAGCATGCAGTATGTGATTGGAAGGAAACACAGTAATATAATGAGTTGGGGGAAAAAAGAAAAATGGTGCGTCTAGAAGGTCAGAAATTAAGAGATGGCATTGCAGCTAATATTCCTCTTGTCCCTTGCATCTATGACCTGAGTTTGCTGGTTCAGACCAAGGCCTCGCCTTCCCAGCAAGAAGTTTCTCCAGACGACTGGTTTTCCATCATAAACGTTCCAATTTCCGACCCTGACGAGTTTCCGATTGATCTTCTCATGCGTTGCACATCGCTGGACCACCCTCAATGCACGGCTCTCCAAGCTGGTTTGACTCAAGAGTTCGCCCTGATCCAAGGGCCACCAGGAACCGGCAAGGTGGGCATTGTTGGAAAACGCCAATCGAGTGCACCATTATTACTACTGAAGCTTGCACAGGAGCTAGTTGGTACCTTTTTTGCTAACCTTCTCCAGGCAATCTAATGCAGACTTTTGTTGGAATCAAGCTCGTGGAAGTTCTCCTGAACAACGCCTTTGCAGATGCGGTGGATGGCGGCCAGAAGGATAATCCCATGGGTCCGATTCTCTGTGTGTGCTTCACCAATCATGCTCTCGACCAGTTCCTGGAGGGCTTGATCGCAAGTGGCATAAAGAATGTAAGCTTAGAAAGTAAACTTCATTACCCTAGCTGATTTGTCTGGTTAATTTTATCTATTCTCCGCAAGGTAGTCCTTGCCATGCAATCTGCAAAGGATCTCAAAGAGTTGAGGCTGCCATATGCCGGTAATTCGCATGATTTGCAGGTGGTTCGAGTGGGAGGTAGAAGCAAGTCTGAGTCTCTTCAAAAGTACAACCTCTTCAACATCATCCAAGGGTATTCTCCCCACCACAGCCAGAGTAAGCTTCACAATTCTCAAGGTCGTTAAAAGAAGAAAGAGAGTAAAACATGTTCACCACCGAATTTGAAGTCTTTTAATTGTTGTCTCTGTGTGCATATGTGCAGGCTACAGGAACTCAAAGTTTTCGGTTCACAGCAGGATGAGAGAGGTTGAAAGAGTCATTGCAACCTACAGCGAGGCCTTGCGGTTCAGAAATGATAACTTCCAGGCCATATCATGGGGCTTGATCTCTCCCCATTTGATGGCGAACCACCCTGTGTTTTTTGAGGCGCTCCAAAGCCCTGTGGAGATCGACATTGTTGATTCCAAGGTGATTGATGCTTGGTCGCAGATGCATTTGTGGTATCTCGTATCCTTTTTCATTCCTTTGACATGTACCGTTGTTGATATGGCAGCACGTGGCACCCGATTATTGGAACGAGTGGAAGCGGGGCTTGACGAAGGAAGCAGTTGTTCGTAGAAACAAAGGACTCATGGAGGCCATGATGAAGCATGCACCGGTAGTTGAGATAGCAAGAAGTAGCCAGGAGGCAGCAACCATGCAGAGTGCACGGGCAATGGACACGTCCGGTGACCGAGCATTGGAGGACCTGCTCGAAGTGGCAGATCCATGGGCAACCAGCCTACGGGAGAGACTGAAGCTTCTGAGGCATTGGTTGGAGGAGCTCAAGGCGACTGCCAATGCTGCTATCGAAGCAGAGGTTCGCAATCATGCGAAGTGCGTAAGACTTTTTTCTCTGTTTTTCTCAGGTGCTCCTATGGCTTTCAAGAAGCTTTTTTTTTGTGTGTGTTGAGAGGGCTAGTGTGATCTGGATCGGCACCAACTGGCAGTGTCAATGATGTATGACTGTGCACTGCAAAGCATGCAGGAAGGTGGCGGAGAGTCGGGAGCTCATGGATATAGAGGACCTGCAGGTGCTGAGGAAGGCGCAGGTGGTGGGCATGACCACGTCTGGGGTGGCCAAGATGCAGCGCCTCATCACGGCGCTCGGCCCGCGAGTCATCGTCGTGGAGGAGGCTGCTGAGGTGCTGGAAGCCCACATTCTCACATCGCTTACCCCGCAGACTCAACACGTCATCCTCATTGGTACAACATCCTGGATGCATTCCCTTGTCTGATATTCACTCACTTTGGTTTTTGGGCTGCTCGTATTTGAGCTTGTATTGGTCGTGTCATAGGCATGGCTACATTGGGTGTGCAAGGTGATGATGCTCCAGTATGACTGTGGCAAAAACACTGAAACCTTCCCCACCTCCATTCTTGTCCCCCACCTCAATTTTGATTGGCAGGCGACCACCTGCAGCTGCGGCCCAAGGTGGAGGTGTACGAGCTGAGCAAGGACTCCCAAAAGGGCTTTGACCTGGACGTTTCACTCTTCGAACGCCTCGCCCTCTCCAAGCAAATCCCCATTTACACCCTCGCCACGCAGCGCCGCATGCGTCCGGAAATCGCCAACCTTATCCGCAGCACCATCTACCCCCAGCTCACAGACCACCCATCTGTTCAGAGCTACCCCGACGTTCGAGGCATGGCAACAAATCTGCACTTTTGGGACCATGACAGCCCGGAGAAGGGCGGTGATTACCTAAATGAGTCAAAGTCCAAGACAAACGAGGGAGAGATGGACTTGGTGGTGGGTCTGGCGACGTACCTGCTGCAGCAGGGGTACGCGGGAGGGGAGATCACCATTCTCACCCCGTATGTTGGCCAGCTGCTGAAGCTACGCCAGGCGCTCTCCCGTGTGGTCAATGTGAAGCTGGGGGAGAGTGATGCTGAGGTGGTGGAGGAGGCGGAGGAGAAGGCTGCAGCTAGGGGCGGTGGATCCAGAGAACGTGATGGCAGGAGCAAGGGTGATTCGTCACATGGCTCATGGTCGCAGAGCAAGGGGCCGGGACCGGGAGAGAGCCATCTCGTGCCGTCCACAGCGGATTTGAAGGATGAAGTGCGGTTGGCTACGGTTGACAAGTAAGTCCTTTTTTATATATATATAGCTTATCTCTACTTCATGCATGGACGAATGAATTAGCGATTAGAGCCTGTTGAAGAATAGTTGATATTAGTTTCTGCTGTACATTGGTTCTGCTCATGTGTAGTTTCCAGGGCGAGGAGAGCACAGTGATCATCATCTCCCTCGTACGGAACAACGGTGACGGCAAGATCGGGTTCCTCAAGAGCCCCAACCGCACCAACGTGCTGCTCTCCCGTGCCAAGCATGGCATGTACATTGTTGGTGAGTCCCAGGCCTTTTCATGGACACTGGATCTTGAATGAGCACTAACATGCTGGGTGCTGGTGGGTGTTACGTCTGACCTGCACCATCGGTGAGTTCACGGAATCTACATTGTTGGTGAGTGGATGGCCCTATCGGTGGATGCTGGAATATGTAATAACAGATACATGACGGGTGTGGGTGGTGTTCATTAATGCTCCTGCTGCGTTCCTGCACGCGAAAGTGCTCATGTAAGAAGTTTTCATGCTGATTCTTTTGTTCACTCCCCCATTTCTTCGCCCAAATTTCCACTCTTGCAACAGGAAATGCCAGCACGATGAAAGCTGACCCCAAGTCTGTGCTTTGGCCGAAGGTTCTGAACATCCTCAAGAGCAATGACCGCATTCAGAAGTTCATTCCGCTGCAGTGTGTAAACCACCCTGACACCATCACGCACATTGAGAATGCGAGCGACTTCAAGGAGAAGGCGAGTGAGGGCGGATGTTCTCAGATGTGCGGCTTCAGACTCATGCCTTGTGGACACACCTGTCCTCGCAGGTCAGAATCACAGGTTCTGTTCCAATGCTCACTCTATGTTCCACTGTTTCCATCTGATGCTGTTATGTTAATTGTCTCCCATGCATGTAATTTTGCTAGCGACAGATGCTATATAGTCAAAGCTCATGTCCACTACCAGTGTTCTATTGGTAGTGCTTGCATTGCACCCCTTTTGGATTGGAGCTAAAGCAACTTTAACAACTTGTGTGTTGTTTGTTTGCAACAGGTGCCACGGGGACGACAGAGCACACGCCAAGACATCCTGCCCCAAGGAATGTAACCGCATACGGCCTCTGGACCAGTGCCCATACCAGCACCCGTGCCCTAAGCAATGCGGGGAGGATTGCGGCGAATGCAAGGCAGTGGTCAAATCAATTACACTACCTTGTGGGCATAAGGCAGTCAACGTTCCGTGCTTCCAGGCACAGCGACCAGCTTTGATTCCTTGCTCGTGAGTTTTCTTCCTCCCTTCTGCTCTTGTCACGTAAGAGCAGTGTGACAGGTGTGGCGCTTGCATGCACATTGTCATCATATCTTTGCTGTTCTACATGGACTCGTAGCTGGACACCACTGTGCGTATGAATGTTGATTTTGCATGAGCCATGCATATCCAATGGGGGCCTTCGGTGTTTGTATGCACAACTTCATTGCTTGCCGCACCTTGTTTTGTTCATAGGATCAGGTGTCACATCTCCTCAGACTTCTCTCTCATGTGTGCCACCCTCTCGACACGTTCTCGCCCATGCATGCATGCACATGCACCTTATCCAATCGCAGGTCATCAGTGGAAGTCACCATGCCTCTTTGCGGCCACAAGCAGACAGTCAAGTGCAGTGAGGCTGCTACCAGACAGAGCAACCCCAAGCTCTGCACGGCTCGTTGCGGTGTGGTTCTCTCGGATTCCTGCGGGCATGAGTGCAACTATCGCTGCGGTGACTGCATCATTGCCCCAGATAACAAAGCCAAGCAGGAGCAGCAGGGACAGGAACAGCAGGCCTCTGGCCAGGAGCAGCAGGAGCATCAGCAACAGGAAGGAACGGCCACGGAAGTATCGGCACCAAGTGTTTTAAAGAAGCACAAGGTGTGCATCCTTCTGTGCAAGAGACCCCACCCATGCGGGCACCTATGCTCTGAGATCTGTCACGATGGCAAGGACTGCAAACCATGCCGTAAAAAGTGCCTCGTGTCTTGCCAACACAGCTCCTGCTCCCAGTCCTGCCACCGAACCTGTGCCCCATGCGCTGAGCCTTGCGGCTGGTTCTGCAAGCACCAGGGTCCTTGCTCTCTCCCCTGTGGTGCCCCCTGTGATCGCCTCCCTTGCGACAAACGCTGTGAGAAAAAGCTCAGATGCGGCCACCAATGCCCCTCCTTGTGCGGGGAAAAGTGCCCCTCTACCGAATATTGCACTGCTCCCAAATGCGGGTCCAAGACCAAAAGGGAGTATATGGTGGATTTGGTAACTCTGGAGACGCTAGGGGAGGTGAATCCAAACGAGAATCCCATTCTTGTGCTGGCATGCGGCCATGCTTATACTGTAGAGACCCTCGATGACCATCTTGGGCTGGATGAGGTGTATCTGCAGTCGAAACCTCTGGGTGGCGCTGATGGTGGCTCGAGCAGTGGGGGAACAGTTGGTTATGGTGCTGCTGGGGCTGCGACCGGTGGGGATGATGGAGGTGCTTCTGCTGGAAACAGGTCCAGTGGGACTGGTGCTGCTGCAGGTGGGGATGGTGGTGCTGCTCCTGCTGTTGGAGGCGGGACTACAGCCAAGTGGTTGGCAGTGCTGCCGTTTGAGAATGGCAATCTCTCAGCTCTCAAGGGTTGCCCTGATTGTCGGCAGCCGATCACAGGGCTCCGACGCTACGGCAGAATGGTCAACAAGGCTCTCTTGGACCAATCAGAGCGCAAGTTTGTCGTCGAGTGTTCGGCTGACCAAGAGTCGGCCCAAAGGAGACTCTCGCGGCTTAGCCGAGCTGTGGCTAGGTGCCCTGGGGATGCTTCACCCAATCACCTTGACGAGTTGGGACAGTCTGTGACGGGTTTTATGCGTGAAGCAGAGCGCCTGCGTGCTGCTTCCATGAATCCGCCCACATGGAAGACTTATCAGGCGTCCATTGCAGCTCTGCAGAGGAAGCATGCGCTGCTGGGGGGTCCGACATGGAGTGGTGGGAGAGGCGGGGCGAGTGGTGCTGGTGCTTTTAGTCCTGCAGTGTCGTTGGAGGAGGAATGCCGTCTGCTCTACGTTACCCAGCCAGACGCGCGCCCGCCTTGCGAATCACTCATCATTCTGGCAAAGTGCCACGAGCTTCTCATGACCCTAAACCTCCTCCAGTTGCGGGACCATCTGAGGAATCTTCGTAATGCAACTGGGCACAAAAGTGCTCCCACTACAGAGCATTTTTACCAGTATGTTCGTGGTTGTAGAATAACTGTGCACGCGTGCCTGAACAATGCACGTGAGTGTCTTGTGGGGGCGGTGGATTGGGCTGGCAAGCGCAAGGCACACCGGCTGGAGGCAAGGGCGCGGTTGGAGCTTGTTGCCTTGTACCGTGCATTTGTGGAAGGGATGATGGCAGAGCGCCTGCTGTGGAGCTCCATTGTTGATCAGGTGAGAGAAGCTATCTCACTATCATGTCTTACACGCATTTACACCTTTCCCCCCGAAACATATGGGTATAGATATGACGGATTTGTTAACATGATGCATTTGTATCTTGCAGAATGAATCAAAGGCACAGCAGCTGGAGTATCTTGAGAAGGCTAAGGTCCAATGTCGCATGGTGGCCTATCATGACATAGTCTCTGTCAGGAATGATGCCCTTGGGGAGAGAGCCAGAAGAATGTTAGAGGACGAGCTACCTGCTCTTGAAACATCTGTTCTGGACGAACCCCGGTACTTTGTCGTGACAGAGCGGGAAAAGGACGAGGTGTACAGGGCAATGGGCTTTGGGGCAGGCCATTGGTACCGGTGCCGCAATGGGCATGTGTATGCCATAGGGGAATGTGGTGGTGCAATGCAGGAGTCTCGCTGTCCTGAGTGTGGAGAGGTCGTGGGTGGGAGTGGTCATCAGCTTCGAGAAGGGAACATTTCCGCAGCTGATTTCTTCAGCGGTCTAAATCAGAGATCGCTCGCTTAGGGTTTTTGTTACTCTATAGGGGCTCAACTTTGTAGTGTGCATCTTAGGGGCTCAAGCTTGTACCATGAAGTTTTTTCCTGACAAGTCTTTCTTATTCGTCTATCTGGATGGCCTTTACCCGATGTGCAGGAACCCCTAATACCGTACTAGTTCTAAGTGATCCAGTCCAGTTTTGATTTTTGGGTGTTACACGCTGTAACCTTTAAGTCACGTCTTCCTCGTCCAAACCCAATGTTCTGGAATCCTAACCGCACCGTCTCAGTTGACGTCAGCAACCCGCCTACTGATTGGCTCGTGCAGATCCTGCTTGGAAGGCAGCATCGAAGTCCAGGAACCGGGTAACCCGACAATAGCACCTGCAGCAGGTCCCTAAGGGGTGTTAGCTGGTGCGACTGTCGGTTGCGAAAAAAGGAGCTGGCGGAGCCTCTGCTGACCACAGCTTTCCAGCCTTCGCAAGCAAGCAACAAACCAGGCTGTGGAGTGCAGCGTACACATGCTGGACTGGACTTGTGTTACCGCATCCCATGCCAAGTCTCATCCCGTACCCAACCCCTAGGCAACTGCGGTCACACCACCCTGAGGTCTTGAAAGCTAAACTTGGTTGAATGAAAAGCCAGTGGTGTGAAAGAGTTGGTTCCCCGCAACCCTAACTTACCCAACGTGTTTGTGTGCGCCATACCCTTCAGGTTCGCTAGCTGTCTCTGACGGTAGCCTTTACAACTGAGCTTGTAGTCCTTCAATTGTTAGGGGAAATCATCTAACATCGCCTTGGTTCGGCTTTTCAAACCTGTGGTGTTGGTAGGTTTTTATTAGCATTTGGTCGCGGAGATACGATGTTTGGTTCAGGGAAGCTGCCGGATGTGCACTTGCTCATCTCGTCATGGCTGGAGAAAGGGGAGGGGAAGGACCGCACAGTCCGAGATGAAGCTTACGAGGCGTTAGCTGGAGCGTACGCCTTCGTCGGCATGGTGGCTCTGGTAAATCATTCTCCATCGTCTTATTTTCTGAAACGCATTTCTATGTAAATGGTTGTACCTCTTTAGAAGAAAAGGAACATTGCGGTTGAACAAATTCCGAATGTTGCTGCGAGGTTCAGGGAAAGTGTGGTCGTCTCTTATTTCTCACAGTTCAGTGCCTGAGAAGATTGGATCTTCAGCTTCGGAACTTCAAGTAGTTAGGCTCCCACGTCGGTCGCTTCTAATTATCATGTCGTCCTTTGTTATCACCCTTTTTCACCCTACATCGGCGGTTATACCAGTCTACATCAACGGCTATCGCCTGCTCTCGAAAATGCCAACCTCGCTGAATCATGGGGACTCGTGAAACATACAGCCTCACTCCCACCAGCTCGCTGACATTTGATGCTTATTTATTTCTTATCATCTTTCTTCCTGAAGTTGCCTTGTTTTCATCCGTACCCATTTGCGTTCTCCCTATCATTGCTTATGTGCGTCCTTTCTCTCGGTTTCAGATCCAGCTCATTCGCATTCAGCGCAGAGTGCCGGAGTACGGCTGGACCACGCAGAAGGTCTTCCACCTCCTCAACTTTGTCGTCAATGCTTGTACGTCGATGTCGTTGTCGCCGTCGTCGTTATCGTTATGTGGTTACCACATGGTAATGCGTGTATGGATGTTCACTCAACGCCTCTACGGCTGGACCACGCAGAAGGTCTTCCACCTCCTCAACTTGGTCGTCAATGCCTGTACGGCGCCCTCGTCGTCGTTATCGTCACCATCGTCGTCGTTATCGTCGCCATCGCTGTTACCGTTGGCGTCGTCGCCGTTATAGCTGTCCGCCTATTTCCTCGTAATGCCTGTCCTCTATCGATGTTCACTTCACGCCTAGACGGCTGGACCTCCTATAAGGCCTTTTACAGGGATAGCGCACACGCGTTATAGCTCACTCGCTCTATAACTCACTTGCGGTATAGCTCTTACTCCTGCACTCTTTGCTCGCTCTGATTCTCTCGTCGACGTAATACCGTGTCGTACCATTTTTTCACTGTTTCCCGATTCTCGCTTTCCCTCCGCAGTGCGAGCCGTGGTGTTTCTCTTCCGCGAGGAGGTGGAAGTCCTTAGCGCGGGTCCCAACCATGTGAGTCGCTGAAACGTGTTGCGGCCATGTCAGTACGTACGTATGATTTCCGTGCTTGCCGTGGTGTTACCCTTTTGAGACGCGGTGGAGGACTTACGAAAGCTCCACAGCCATGGGAGTCACGAGTCCCGATTGTGTGAGTCGGGAGTCCCTGTTTTATTAGCCCATGTGAGTTTGAATCCATGATTTGTGTCTGGCTCGCCCACATGCACACCTCGTATCCGTTCGGCTTTGCCGTTCGTTTCCCTCTTGGCCGTATGTCCTACCTCTTCGTTTCCTACCTCTCACCCCTTCTTCCCCACCCACCCAACCCTAATTCCCTCTTCCTGTTTTCTTCTGGTGCCAGGTATTCGCGCACGTGCTTCTGGACCTCCCCGGTCTTCTCTTCTTCACCACCTATACCCTCCTCGTGCTCTTCTGGGCTGAGATCTACCATCAGGTGAACCACCTTCTTTCTTTCCTTTCTTTCCGCCAGCCTATGCCATGATTCATGTTTGTTCATGCCCCCTTCAAGCACATGTCCTGCCTTGTAAAAATTCCGCACCTGATCCGTGTCCCATACTTTGTTGCCTTGTATGCCGCAGCCGTCGCCCGCCATTGCGTCAACTGTTTATCTCCCTCCGCTCCCCCACCTTTCAGGCGCGCGGCCTGCCCACAGACAACCTGCGGCCGTATTTCATGGTGGCGCAACTCAGACACCTCAAATTCCCTCCCCGCTCTCACTCCCCGCTCCCCCCCTCCCCCCTCCCCCCCCCGTCCCTCTCCCTCCCTCCTCGTTCTTGCATCCCCTGTTTCAGGCGCGCGGCCTGCCAACGGACAACTGCGGCCATACTTCATGTCAACATTGCAGTCCACTCAAATGTTTCTCTTGCACTCCCTCCCTCCCTCCCCCTCTCCCCCCCTCTCACCTTTCAGGCGCGCGGCCTGCCTACGGACAACCTGCGGCCATACTTCATGGCGGCCAACGTCGGCGTCTACGTGCTGCAGGTGAGGCTTTTGGGGAGTTTGGTGCGGTTCAAATGGGTGCATCGATGTGACCTCATGTTCTGCGGTCGTAAATACAGTATGTAGAGCTCCTGCCTCCCCGTTCTGTCCTCATGTGTCTTCGTCGACCTTTGTTTCCCCTTCCCTAGATTCTGGGCGGCCATCTGGGGGGTGCCATGGCATGTGGTTTGACTGCTAGGACATGCTTACAGTCAAACCTCAACCTCTGCTTGTGTTCCATGTTGGCCTTTGTGCCCTCGTCTCACACCTCTGTCCTCTTCTCCGCTCCCGTGTCTCCTCTACAGGCGGCCATCTGGGGCGTTATGTGGTTCGATCACAAGGACATGCTCACAATCGACCTCATCGCCAAGCTCTTCTTTACGGGTCAGCTAAACACACATTCTCCCCTGTTTCCTCGTTTGTGCCTTACTACAATCATCAACTGGATGCTGACTCTTTTTCCGCTTATCAATCTCACACGTTTCATTCTTTTGTTACTCTTTCCCTTCTCTAGACCCCTGCGTCCACTTCACCACAACCCTTTCCCCAAGCCTCCCCATCCCCCAATCTCCCACCCCCTTCTCGGACCCGTTTCCACCCGCTGTGTCTCTCTCTTCCAGCTCACTTCATTTCTACCGACTCATAATCTTTCTTATCTCCCTCTTCCAACCCGGCCCGGCACTCCCTCCTCTCTTTGCAGCTGTCTCGCTAGCAGCCGCGGCAGGCTTTCTGCTCTATGGCGGAAGGTACGTCTGTGCGAGATGTGAGAGGGAGCAGCGAGCTGAGCCTTGTTATCCTCCCCCTCTCTCCCCCCCAACCTCCCCCCCTCCCTCCTTCCCATCTCTTTCCTGCCATCCTTTCCCTCTGTCTGTGGCTGGTATTGTCACTTCCGCTGTGCACTTCGATTCGTAGCTCACGAATCAAAGTTGCTCTGTTTCAGAGCACTTTGATTCGTGGCTCATTGGAGACGGCTCTGAAACATTCCCTCCTTTCCGGATCGCAGTGTCTCACCTTCGCAGCATTGCACCTCGCCACACCCCCCCTCATCGCCCACCCGCCTTCCTCTCTCGTCCGCATGCCTCTTCCCAACCACTCTCGCTCAATCCGTTGCTCCCTCATTCCTCCCTCATCCTATACGCCCCTCACACCCCCGCTTCCCCTCTCACCATCAGTTCCCCATTGAGTCCCTCCCCTGCCCCCTCCCCCACCTCCCTAATTCCCTCCTCTCCCTTCCCCCTCGTTTCCCCTCCCCCTCTTTTCTCCTCCTATTAGGCTCTTCCTCATGCTGCAGCAGTTCCCCATTGAGTCGCTCTCTTGCCCCCTTCGCCCCTTTCCGGTTTCCCCCCTCTCCCCTTCCACTCGCTCCTATCAGGCTCTTCCTCATGCTGCGGCAGTTCCCCATTGAGTCGCGGGGTCGCAGAAAGAAGCTTCACGAGGTGGGTGGTTTCTTGTTGCATGAGGTTGTGGGTTCGGATGACCTCACCTCTGGCTCTGTCACGCTGTAGGGCTTGCTTGCTTGCTTGCTTGAAATGCTTCAGTGGGTTTATCGTCTCTCCCCTCGCATTCACAGCCCGTTCTTGTGTCTGTGTTCGCCTGTGCCGCTCTGTGCTTCCCTGTGTTACGTATGTAACCCCGTATGGAACTATGTTCGCCTGTGTTCGCCTGCGTTCGCCTGCAGGTTGGCTTCGTGACTCTCATCTGCTTCTCCTGCTTCATCGTCCGAGCTGCCGTGGTGAGTGCTGCTGCTGCAGTCGAGTTGAGCCGTTGTGGGTGCATTTCAGCTTTGCACCATGCATCATGGAGGCATTATGGGTGCATCATGGGGGTATCACAGGAACATCATTGGTTCATCAGGCATCATGCATCATGGGGACAGCATAGGGGCAGTATGGGGCAGCATGAGGGCAGCATGGGGACAGCATAGGGGCAGTATGGGGCAGCATGAGGGCAGCATGGGGTCATCATGGGGACGTTATAGGGTAATGATGATGGGGGCTTCACAGCAGCAGTGGGTGGACCACATCGCCTGTAGCATCACATCTACAACATCCAAATTCATGTCGGGAGTAGCAGCAAACCTTGAGACGACTTTTGAGGCGCCTCAAAAGGTATCACAGCAGCAGTGGGTGGACCACATCGCCTGTAGTATCACATCTACAACATCCTCTCCCATTTCCCCCTCCCCTGACTCCTTCCCTCCCCCTGCTTCCCCACTCTTCTTTCCCTCGTTTTGTCCTCGCAGATTTCTTATTCAGCGGTTATGAGCACGGCATCAAATAACTTTTCAATGTAGAAACCGCGTGTAATGAGTCTGCTTTTGAGTCGACTCAAAAGCGTTTTGTCCTCGCAGATTTCTTATTCAGCGGTTAGGAGCACGGCATGGCTGGACTGGACGTGGTGGGTCAACGTCGCTCGGTATTCAGGCTTTCCCCCTGTCCTGATCCCCTGCCCTCTTTAACCTTTTTCATCCACGCAGATCGCCTATTCGGCTGTTGTGAGCACGGCATGTTGATGGTATTTTTGAGAATTCTCAGAAGTACCAACAACGTAATTGTGAGCACGGCATGACTGGACGTGGTGGGGGAGGACCCTAGGGTCAATGTCGCCTACCTATCACAACATACCTCTTGATTACCCCTTCCCTCCATCTGCCCTCCCTTGTATCCCGTCCTCTTCCCTCCTTTCTTCCCCTCCCTTCTTCCCCGCCCTCTTCCCTCCTTACTTCCCCTCCCTTCTTCCCCTCCCTTCTTCCCCGCCCTCTCCCCCCCGCTGCACAGATCGCCTACTCAGCCGTTGTGAGCTCAGCTTGGCTGGACGTGGTGGGGGAACCCTGGGTGGGTTTTTGAGTCGACTCAAAAATCGACTCTGGACGTGGTGGGGGACCCCTGGGTGGGTTTTAAAGTTGACTCAAAAATCGACTCTGGACGTGGTGGCAGACCCCTGGGAGGGCCACATCGCCTGTTGTTACAACATCCCCCCCTCTATGTCCCCCTCCCTGCCCCTTCCCTCCCCCTGCTTCCACTCCCTCCTTCCTTTCTGTGTCAATTCAGATCGCTTATTCAGCCGTTGTGAGCACAGCATGGCTGGACGTGGTGGCAGACCCCTGGTCTACTCCTCCAATGTTCCCTCTTTTCCCTTCCCCACCCTCTTCCCTGCCCTCGTCTGCAATTCTGTGTGTTGACGCAGATCGCCTATTCAGCCATTGTGAGCACGGCATGGTTGGACGTGGTGGCAGACCCCTGGGTCAACGTCGCCTACTATGCTGTAAGGCCCCCCCTGTGCCCGCATGCATGCACCTGTGCCCACATGCATGCACCTGTGCCCACATGCATGCACCTGTGCCCACATGCATGCACCTGTGCCCACATGCATGCACCTGTGCCCACATGCATGCACCTGTGCCCACATGCATGCACCTGTGCCCACATGCATGCACCTGTGCCCACATGCATGCACCTGTGCCCACATGCACCTGCACCCTTCTGCTCCCTCTTTCCCCGCTCGCCCTTCATCCCTCCCTTCCCGTTCACAGTATGTGCATTTCATCTCCTTCCTTTCGTCACACTCAACTCACATCTTCCAGACTCCCCACCTTTTTCCCTCTTCATTCCCCACATCCTTTCCCCCCATCCTTTCAAACCATCCTTTCGCCATCGCTTCCCCCATCGTGTTCCCCCATCCTTTCCCCGCATCGTTTCTCATCCTTTCCCCCCATCATTTCCCCCCTTCCTTTCCCCCCATCCTTTCCCCCAATCGTTTTCCATCCTTCCCCCCCATCTTCCCCGCCCACTTCCTAGTGTGTGGGGCTCATCCCAGCAGCGCTGCTGCTCTACATTCTCTGCAAGCTGCCTCTAGATGCGTCTTTTTCCACCTGATAATTTCTCTCTCTCCCCTCCCTCCCCACCTTCCCAGTGTGTGAAGCTCATCCCAGAAGCGCTGCTGCTCTACATTCTGCGCAAACTGCTTCGATTCCACCTGACGTTTTGCCCACATCACTCCCCTCTTCTCCCTGTTCCCCTTTTCTTTTTCCACTTCCCAGTGTGTGGAGCTCATCCCAGCAGCGCTGCTGCTCTACATTCTGCGCAAGCTGCCTTTCGATGCGTCGTCTTCCACCTGATAACATCTCTCTCTCCCATCCCTCCCGCTCTCCCCCCTCCCCCACTTCCCAGTGCGTGGAGCTCATCCCAGCAGCCCTGGTGCTTTACATTCTCCGCAAGCTGCCTCCGAAGCGCAATGCCAACACTCAGGCCCTGCGCTAAGCGTTCGGATAGCGCTTGCATTCACAGCGCACTCATTCAGTGGGGCGATACAGTCCAGTGCTGCAATTGAGTAATATAGTGCATTAACTGTGCAGTGATACAGTGCGTTGTTGACTTACTGTGGTGTTACAATGTGTGTGCGCGCGCTAATACAGCTGGTGCAGAGAGTGAGTACTTGCAGCTTTCTTCAGAACAACGGAGTTCCGGTAGTACCCGTAGTAGTATACGTGGAGCAGAGAGTAGTTGCCTCGATGTGCTTACACAGGTCTTGCAGTGCTAGTCTGTTTCACTACCAAGCTGTCATGGTTCATGGCCCTCTTTGCTTCTGCCACACTCGCAATGGCAGTCGAGTATGGTATTGCTAGGCTTGCTGAATTGGATGGGTGCAGAGGAGATTTGTGATGTGAGTTTATGGATTCTTTGTGTATTTACGGTATTGTTTCCACACTGGAGCTCTTCTGAATGCCTGTAATGCAACTGAATGTGAGGACATACAATACTTGTGACTACTGGCACATGTACAAACATATGCAATAACCTGTCATTCAATGGGCTGGACCTTATGAGAGGACCCCCCCAGGCCCCCACCTCTCCCCTTCCTTGCAACACCCCAACATTTTTTTCCACCTTTTGACCCTTCTTACTCATCCTCGTCATCATCATCTGAACCATAGGTTGAAAACAAGTTGGTTAACGCAGCTTTCCCCTTCTCCTCGTCATCTCGCTGCAAGCCACCAGCACTGGAACCCCCTGAACCATCAGCATTGCCTCCAGTAATTTCAGCTCCTGAATTTCTTCTAGAATCCCTGCTCGCCAATGGCACTTTCTCATCTTTGATTGGCACTGTTGCCTTGTCTGGCACCTTGCTCTTTGCCTTCACCATAAACGCCACCTTCACAGGCTTGGCTTCAAAGGCCGGCCGAGGGTCCTCATGGACAAATCTGCTCCGTCGATTTTCAAAGGCTGAACTTGCTGCTACTGCTGCTTCCCCTGCTGCTCCTGTGCCTCCTGCTGCCGCTGCTTCATCTTGAATTGCTGATGCTGCCTTAACCCCTCCCGCAACAGCCGATGGTTCTCTCGAGCTCATGACTTCACCATTATCACCCGAAACATCACCACCGCCTGCTTCAGCTTCGCCTCCATTGGCGACAATACGAGCCCTTTTAACCCCTCCTTGCTGATCCTTGTTGCTGGCTTCAGCTCCCTCACCTTCTTCCCCCTCATCCTCCTCGTCACTGTCTATCCTCTTTACAAACTTCTCTGATTTTCTGAATACTATCTTTTTAATCAGCTCCTCGTCTTCTTCCGTTAGTTGTTTCGGATCCGCTAACACTCCTCCTCCGCTCCCACCAGCTCCGCCGGCCGATCTCTGAAGCACCTCCAGAACCGCTGCTGGATCTAGGGTTGCTTGTCGCGCACGCATCGATTTCATTTCGTCCAAGGCCGCGAGAATGTCCATTTCCATCTTGGAGTCGAGGGTTCGATTCTCGAGAGCGCGCATGGCGTCGCCCATTTCTTCCTCCTCGCGCTGCCGCTTCGCAGTCGCCTTCTGCTCGTCCGACGCTCGCCATGGCTCGAAATTTCTGGACGCTCCGGATTCCATCTCGTAGTCGCTATTCTTCGGATCCGTCTTCATGACCATCTCAGCGGAACACTTAGTACACTTGAAATAGAAGCGGAATTTCATGAGACCGAGGTAAGTGTCTCCGACAACGTCCTCCTTCCGGCAGTTGAATTTCGTCCCCTTGTACATGTACGTCCCGCAGGTGTTGCATCGGATGCTCATAGGAAGCATCATACGAACTTTCATCTGCTCATTTTTCAGCGGGATGCGCTTCGGAATCTTCGACGGATCGAAGTCCGGCGGGTAGTACTTGTTGAGAACCTTCCGCTCACCCATCGCTCCTGGCTTGAGAAACCGAAATTACTGGTGAAGAAGGATTAAGAAGCAGTCAAGAGTATGCTGGAATACACAATAAGACGATGAGGTGTGAAATAAAAGAGTCGGTTCTAGGACAGGTCCTCCTTGGTATGTGAAAAAGCTGAACAAGCTCAAATCTCATGAAGAATACTGATGGACTGATGACAGTGGAGGAGGAGGTTTTCTACAGGGGTGATTCACCCAAGATTTGCAATGAAAGTCGCGTAAGGGTTCGATAGCGCAGATGATAGCCGTCACAAATTGTTTGGGAGTTCCTATTGGCCGAATTCCTCTATTTGGGGTGGCCGCAACAAGTGCCACATTCTTCAAAGTGTTCGTCCGCAGAACGAAAAGTTCCTTGCAGCATCTGTATCCCACCCGAGGGACTAGCCCGTTTTCCGTAACGTGTATCCTTTCACGAAGATGCACCACGGCTAGACTTCTTCATGTCTGGACTCCATGTTGGAAATTCTAGCCACTAGAGAATCATAATATAGCAGTACAATTGTCTATTCGCTAGTCGCTGGTTCTTCTGTCGTTACCGCTGTTGTTTCCCAATAGCATCTTTTGATACTCCACTTTTTAGGGTTCACAATAGAATGTGTTTTCTATGCAGGCCTTCATCACGCACTAGTCTCGCGCTCATAGCTTCTGAAGTTCCAAGCAGCTTGTGAGCTTAGTCAGCGTTGCAACTCAGCCATCTGTAGGTTTATTTTTCGCGACCTTGTCACCATGGCAAAGCGCATTCCTATGATCAAGTTCCCAATCCGGTCTCGAGGTGAGCGTCGTTTTCTTGCGCAGACAGCTTGTTTTCGCTATGTTCAACCTCATCCTGCTTTCGCCATTTCGCCTTCACACCATTTCCCCGTTGCTTCCGTGCTGATTAGTATCCGTTTTTATTCAACGTATCCATTTCCTACCCGCAGTCTCAGCTCCAACACCAGCAGCTGCACAAACGTCCCAAAAAAATACCCCTTCGCTTCAACAATTCACATCAGCACCAGCACCAGCACAAGCAGGAGCATCCTCAAAACCGCGAAAGGCGGCCACGTCACACCAGCCTTCTGCTCCCGTTGCCAGCTCTTCTTCATCCTCTTCACAAGCAGCTCCGGTTATAGAATCCATAGCGGTTCCTGTTGCTGGTGTGAGTGAAGTGGCAAAGACGAATGCTAAGAAGCCGGGGCCTCAAGCAGCAAGTTTACAACCTCGACGGAAGCCCATGACAGACGAAGAGATTGACCTGATAATGGTGAGGCATTGACCTGATAATGGTAAGACATTGACCCGATAATGGTAAGACATTGACCCGATAATGGTAAGACATTGACCTGATAATGGTACGAGAGTGACCTGATAATGGTAAGACATTGACCCTATGACTGTTAGTCATCATGTCCGTTCAGGTTATACATTGCAAGAGATTTCCCCCATTTGTTACTGTGCAATTATTCCAGTTACCAGCCTCTGACTGAACCCCCCCTTTCCCGTTCTTCCCCCCCACCCCCTCCCCCCCTTCCCTTTTCCCTATTCTTACATGTTTCTATCCTGTTGCACCTGACAGAGTGGTGGAGCAGTCTTTTTCTAATGTTCTGAAATTACCTAAATTCACAGCTTTGAGGATTTACAGCAGATTGTAATCTCCATTGTGCCAGGAACACACGTCTTCACAATCATATTCGCACAGATCCCAACAGCACAGAGTTCATGAGAGCACAGGGTGATGGATGGCTGGCTAGCTAGCTAGACACAGGATTCCTTGGCTGGATATGATTGGCAGCTGCTTGACCCACCCAGTGATTTCTTGCTTCAATATTGCCAGTTACATTGCGATCTGTGCTGAAGTACCATGCTTTCGTGTGCAGGCTATTGCAATGCATGGTGCTAAAACTCCAGGAACAGTTCCACGACCTGCTCCCCAGGAACTGTATTAATATCACGGTACATGGTTCACTGGAACACTGAGGTGAAGGTGTGAGCATAATCATCACAGTGCTTCACATGCAAAAGATACCAAGTACCGTAGGTACATCCATCAGGCAACTAGCAGCACTTACACATGGAAGTACATGCCTGAGATAAGCCACACGACCCAGGAATAAACAGTAGGTGAACTACCACCCGCCGCAGGACTTACAGTTCCAAAAACACATCCATAGGACCGTAAAAAAGAACATGGAAAGGAAACCGGCACGATAGAAACAAGACAGATAACAGAACATGCACGGGTTAGACAACTTGAGAGGGGTGCAGATAGTGGGGTTGTTACAGGAATAGAAATAACAACAGTCACATGCGCATAGCAGCAGGAAACGACGAGTAGTGAGGGAATCAGTGGTCTGGCAGCAGCTGGTGGTCAGAATGTTATGGTAGCCTGTCAGTGAGAGCGATAGGTTCGATGTGAGCAAACATGATGTTGCGCGGCACCGTAATGTGAATTCTGAGTTGTCTCAAATGTCACCTCTCGTGCGCATAGGGTTACAGTGGCTGGCTGTCAGTGTGAGTGATGGGAGTGGCCTTAGGATCGAATTCGAGTACCAGGCGGAATGCCTTTCTTCTAGTAGAGCAGCACAGTCTTGAAGAGGAGTGGAAGGGGAATTATAACTGAAATGCTTGTTGCGCTGCCTCGGGCAGAGAGGCAGCATGACTTTCGAAATCCCTCAGGCGGAAAGCAGCAGTGCAGTGCAGTGCTTGGTGGGCTGGTGGGCTGGCAGCTGGTCCAGGTGAGGAGACCCCACATTACTGCTTGGTTGGCTGGTGGCCAGTGGGCTAGGACAGGAGACCCCACATTACTGCTTGGTTGGCTGGTGGCCAGTGGGCTAGGACAGGAGACCCCACATTACTGCTTGGTTGGCTGGTGGCCAGTGGGCTAGGACAGGAGACCCCACATTACTGCTTGGTTGGCTGGTGGCCAGTGGGCTAGGACAGGAGACCCCACATTACTGCTTGGTTGGCTGGTGGCCAGTGGGCTAGGACAGGAGACCCCACATTACTGCTTGGTTGGCTGGTGGCCAGTGGGCTAGGACAGGAGACCCCACATTACTGCTTGGTTGGCTGGTGGCCAGTGGGCTAGGACAGGAGACCCCACATTACTGCTTGGTTGGCTGGTGGCCAGTGGGCTAGGACAGGAGACCCCACATTACTGCTTGGTTGGCTGGTGGCCAGTGGGCTAGGACAGGAGACCCCACATTACTGCTTGGTTGGCTGGTGGCCAGTGGGCTAGGACAGGAGACCCCACATTACTGCTTGGTGGTTTGGCTCTTTCTAATCCCTCGCATCTTCCCACCGCCAACCTCACTCTCCGAAGACCTGGAAGCAACAACCTTCGTTGCACCTCCTCCTCCCCTTCCCTCCCCCCCTCTTCCCTCCCCTCCTCCTCCTGCTACAGCTGCCGGCCCTGGCACAGACCGGCCCCTCTCCTCCCCTTGCTGCGGCTTCTTCACCTTCTTAGCAGGCTCTCGCACCTTCCCAGCCTTCTCCCCTGAACCCCCAGCCATCCCCCCTCCCCCTCCTCCTCCCCCTCCACCTCCCCCACCCCCCAGCCCTCCCTCTGCGGGAATTGTTATACCCCTAGTGGGAAGAGCCCCACCTTTGCCCTTAATGGCTGCCTCCAAACTGGCAGGGGAGAGCATGGAGGGGTGCACGGCAGGAGGAGGCGCGCGGGGACTCTCTGCGGTACTAAACGGAATCTGGAGAGCAGGGAGGGGCGGGAAGGGCTTGCGAAACGGACTCCCAGCTGTTCCTGCCCCAGCTGCTGCGGGATTGCCTGGAATACCGGGAGAAGCCATGCTGCTGCTGTTGCTGCTGCAGCTGAGGGGAGGAGCACGAGCAGGGGAGGCAGCAGAGGAGGCAGCAGAGGTTGGTCTAGAAGCAGAGGAGCTGTTCCCGCCTGCAGCACCACCAGCAGATGGGTACAGATCCCCAAACGTCTCAGCAGGAGCGCCCTCTGACTCGCCTCGGGATGATGCAGACACAGGACTACGCCCAGCACCTGCTGCTGCTGCTGCTGCTGCTGCAATTGCGGATGCTGCTATGCCTGAAGGTGCAGAGGGGTTGGCAGCGGTGTGGGCGTGAGTGCGAGTGGTTGAGCTGGAGACAGAGCGGCGGAGAGGCAGGGCGGCGGTGGGAGGGAGGGCGGCAGGCTGGGAGGGCGTGCCGGTGTGAACTCGACGCAGCGGCGCCAACCCCCCTCCCTGCTGCTGCTGTTGCTGCTGAGACTGAGAAAGCCGGTGCTGCCGCTGCGGCTTCTGCCCTTGCTGCTGCAGCTGCTGTTGTTGCTGAGAGGCAATCCCTTGCGGGTTCACACCATCCCACTCAAGCTCGGGAGGAACTGTGGGACTGCAGAAATCAGGAGTAGGGGACTGGGGGTAGTTCATGCCTCCTCCCATGCCTCCACCCAGGCCTGCCCCAGGAGAATTACCAAAGGCAGCAGGATTGGGTTGTTGAGGCATCTGGTTCGGCATGTGGTTCGGGAGGTTGGGGTAGAGTTCTCGCTCAGGGACGCTGCGAGTGCGGAAGAAGGGAGGGAGCACCAGGGTAGGCGGCCCCTCCTCATCCTGCTCCTGCTGGGGTGGCTTCATAGAAACTCCCTGCTGCTGCTGCTGCTGGTACTGCTGCTGCTGATACATTTGCTGCTGCTGCATTTGCTGAGGGTGGTGATTATAGGGATGGGGCGCGTTCGGGCGAGGGGCATTACAAGGCACCATCCCCCCCATCCCCATGCCTCCTGGTCCGCCCATACCACCCCCCGTTCCCCCGCCCAGACCTCCCCCCCTCCCCCCGCCCATACCCGGCCCCATCCCCCCTCCCATCATCTCCCCAGGCATTTTGTTCATGGATGTTCGATCCCCACTCACGCTCCTGCGCATTGGGGGAACCGCAGGCCCCCCAACCGCCCCCCCGCCAAGCCCCCCACCCCCCATAGCTCCCCCCATCCCCCCAGACATTCCCCCCGGCGCTCCCCCCGCCCCCAGCCCCATTCCCCCACCCATCCTTGTCGCGCCCTTGGCTCCCCGCGCCTGCTGCTGCTTCCCCGCGCCCTCCCCATAGTTCCCGCTCCCCCCACTTGCCCTTAGCTTTCCGCCCCCATAATTCCCGCTTCCCCCGCTCCCCCCTAACTTTCCGCCCCCATAGTTTCCGCTTCCCCCGCTTCCCCCTGACTTTCCGCCTCCATAGTTTCCGCTCCCCCCAGCTCCTGCCAACTTCCCTCCCCCATAATTCCCGCTCCCCCCACCACTCCCTGAATTAGCGCCCCCATAATTCGCGCTCCCTCCACTCCCCACCAAGTTCCCGCCCCCGTAATTCCCGCTTCCCCCACTCCCCACTAAGTTCCCCCCTCCATAATTTCCGCTTCCCCCACTGCTCCCTAAGTTCCCGCCTCCGTAATTCCCGCTTCCCCCAGCGTATCCTGGGCCATTCGAAGGCGGGTTGAGGGAGAGTGAGGCGGCGGCTCGGTCTAACGAAGCAGAGGGGAGGCTCGCAGCGCGTTTGCCGGCGATAACGGCGCGGCGCTGGGCTAAGGGGGGCAGGTTTAACTGGACAGGTAGGTCTGAACCGTCGTCCTGCTGACGCTGCTGCTGCTGCTGTGGTGGTGGTTGTTGTTGCTGCAGCTGCTGCTGCTGTTGTTGTTGTTGCTGCTGCTGCCCCGCTTGAAATTGACGTTGGGCCAATGGGGGTAGGTGTAACTGGACGGGTAGATCTGAATCATCGTCCTGCTGCTGTTGCTGCTGCTGCTGTTGTTGTAGCAGCAGCTGCTGCTGCATTGCTTGCGATTGGCGCTGAGCTAGAGGGGGCAGGTGTAACTGGACGGGTAGATCTGACGCATCGACCTGCTGTTGCTGCTGCAAGTGCTGCTGTTGAAATTGACGCTGAGCCAAGGGGGGTAGGTGTAACTGGACAGGTACATCTGAATCGTCGTCCTGCTGCTGCTGCTGCTGCAGCTTCTGTTGTTGCTGCTGCTGTTGTAGCAGCAGCTGCTGCTGCATTGCCTGCGACTGCCGCTGGGCTAGGGGGGGCAGGTGTAACTGCACAGATACATCTGAACTGTCATCCTGTTGCTGCTGTTGCTGTTGTAACAGCAGCTGTTGCTGCATTGCTTGCGACTGCCGCTGGGCTAGTGGCGGCAGGTGTAACTGGACAGATACATCTGACGCATCATCCTGCTGTTGTTGCTGCAGCTGCTGCTGCTGCAGGTGCTGCTGTTGCACCGCTTGAAATTGACGCTGGGCCAACGGGGGCAGGTGCAACTGCACAGATACTTCTGAACTGTCGTCCTCCTCCCGCTGCTGCTGCTGCGGCGGCGGCGGCATATGTTGTGCTTGGCGCAGCGGCTTCTGCTGCTGCTGCTGTTGCTGCTGCGGAGGCGGCGCTTGATGCCTCTGCGCTCCCCCTACTTGCGGAACGCCTTGTTGCGCCACTCCGCCTCCCCCTCCCCCTCCGCCGCCTCTCCCCCGGCCCCGCGGCCCCCCCATGGGCCCAGTTCTTCCCCCCGATTCTCCCCTTCCCCCCGATACCCCCCTTCCGGCCGTTCCCCCCATTCCGCCGGTCGGCGCAAGCCCCGCTGGCCCTGGCCGCGCTTTTCCCCCGCTTCCGCGAACCTCATCCTCGTACTCGGGGTACGCGTCCCCGTCAGCTGTGTACTCGTCGATGTAACCGTACGGTGCCTGGTTGTAACCCTGCTGCGTTACAGCGTGTCCGACTCCGCCGGGTTGGGGGGTACCGGCGGAACCCCCCCTGCCGCGCGGCTGCTGATTGAGCTGCTGCTGCTGGTGCTGTCCCGCATACTGTCGCTGCTGATTCGTTATAGGCTGATTCGACTGCGGCCTTGGCTGCTGCTGCTGCTGGAAGTCACTTATGCCGTTAGCGTACGGAGCTTCGCCTCTCAGGGCGGCTTGCCCAGCCTGACCGCGAACCTGAGGCATCTAGTAGCTTTGCTGAGATTCGAACCCGCGACCTTGAGAGTCAGTCCCGACACCCTTCATGCATCATCCCCACTGCCACATGTCCAACGTTCATATCCCTGTCGGCGCCGCTTAAAGCCGAATTGCATCTCGTCAACTGACGCTTAACCCGAAAATACGCCGTTCTCGTTCGACTATTGCATCTCGTTCGAGCGCTACTTCTACATGATAAAAAGCATGCGGGAAATGATCGTACCTGTGCTTGCAACTTACATAGATAGTAAGCTATACACGTTAATGCTAAACAATCCGAAATTGTAAATCTTAGGTAAGAATAGATAAACGATAGAGCTAAACGAGGCCGTAATCTCGTGCGCAGACCATCTAAACTTCTGCTCAAACTGTCCTAAAACCTTAGTGGCCTGGATTGCCAAAACAGACAGCTGTGTGGGTGGTGGGTGTTGGTGGGGTGTACGGAAAAACAGGTGCCAGACCAACAGTGTCTTGAAACTCCCAACTCCCAGGTTCCAGTCTGTCTCAATTGAACTCAAGTCCCAAGGGTGATGGGAAGTGGCAAACTGGAACCTGGGCGATGGCAACTGGCAAGGCAACATGGAAAATGCCGAACCGAAGTTCTACATAACAGCCATATACGCGTTACTGTGTACGTATCCGCTTGAACACGAAAATGGGCAATCGTAGAAGGCAATGAGCCTTTTGAAACAATATCACGAAATTTGATTGGACCGAGTATTCAACATAATGCATTCGATTATACTAATATTTGATTTCTTTTAACAAGCATCAAGTCTACTTGTATCATGTTTCTTAGTGAGAATACATATATATATATTATCCTCTGAGCCATGCAGAAAGATTAACATCAATATTTTAAGTATTTCTGTTTTTGTTTCAAGCCATGCATGCTTTGGCATTGATATCTATACTATGTCGTTCGCGTGAGCTCAACAGCGGATTTTGCAGCTTCAGACGACTGCCATGCCACAGACAGACGTCAATCCACGAAACGGAACATGTGTGGCCGATCTGGATCTGGGTCGATGTCACGTCAACCTGGCATTGCGCCCACTGCCACACCAGTGTGGCGCGGGTGTCTGCAGCGTTGACCACCAATCCGCGTCGTTCGTTCTCCTTGTCACTTACGCAAGTTTCTTCCATATAAAACCACTCGACACCGTACAAGAACGGAGCGAGTGGTTTTCTCCTTGTCAGTTACGACTGTGGAGCAAGTTGCTCCAATGTCCGACCCACCCACCTCACTCGCTTGACTTTTCTTTTGTGCTTCCAGTCTAGAGCCCATTCACATGTGGATGGTACGGCATGCCCATAAGGTGTATCCTGCTCGTTTCAGACTCGGGGGTCACAGCTGCTTTCCACGTCCGGTGAGGTCTTCGTCTGCAAAAAAACCATCACTTAGCATTTGAGTTCAGGCCAAGTTTCAGTCCCAGCTCATTTCACTCGGCAAAAACAGCGGCAGCGAGGTGTGGCAACAGCTGCAGCGGCGGCAGCAGCAGCAGCAGCAACTGCAGGGGGGCGCACCGCCCATGCAGTGGTGGTCTTGATCAACAAGAGGAGCAGGAGAATAGTTGCCTGCAACGGAGTGCGCAATGAAAGTTGCACATTGCATGAAGATGCACCTGCAGGCCAAATGCAAGCCCACAAAGATGTTCGCGATCGAAAGTGCTTACCCTTGCTTGCATGGCTGAATGAAATGACAGCACTGATCTGTCTTCTCGATCACTCCGACCTCTTCCTCTCCTATTCTCGGGAGCGCGAATAAGAACTGTCGTGAGTCGTGACCTTTGCCTCGATCGCGATTTTTGTTACTCATAGCTGTCTTTTCGTTACTCATAGCTGTCTTTTCGTAAGCGTTTCGCCGCAACTGACGGCGGAATCTACGGGCATGGCGACCAGAGGGCAGCAGCGCATGCAGAGCTGTAGATTAAAGCTGCAGCCGCTCCATCTAGACACTCTGAACCAGGACGACCCCGAGTTGGGGGACTATCGCGTAAGCGAATCTTGCCGTACCGCAAACGATGTTGTTTCGCAAAAGAGATGGGTGCGGAAGAGACGATCGAATGAAAAGCGGCGACCATCCTACCCGGTAGTTGAAATGCGACAGTCAGCTGGTAACACAATAACATTCTCCTTGGCGAAAGCCGAACCGGTTCTCGCCAAGCAACAGGCCGTTGCAGCTCCAACTAGAGGGGCAGCGGAATGGTTTATAGTGGTTCCTGATTCGCAGGGAAGCTCGAGGCGCGGATTCGCCACGGTCGCACGCCGACGACGCGCTGACCGTGACGACGACGATGACTACGCCGCCGACGACGACGACGGCGACATCGACGAACCCGTGTGCGACGATTGCGACGATTGCGACGAATTCGGTGACGGTATCGGCGACGCCACCGGCGACGCATCCAGCAGCAACAGCGATTTCGAGACGAACGAGATGGATCAGATGTTCGGCGAGTTCAGCCGCACGAGCAGCTTCGCAGAACCTTCCACAGGAAGGTCGACTTCGTCGCAGGGGCAGCAACAGCATTTCTGCAGGGGAGCAGGCATGTCTCAACCCGCAACTCCCGCTGCGCCGCGAGCGACGCCGCGTGTTGTCCCGGCGGCGCCTTTCACGCCGTCCGCGGCCGCAGCCGCCGCCACGACGCGCCGCTTCCTGTGGTCGTGCGAGGAGTCGGAGGAAGACGAGTGCGCCGCGGAGGAGGCGGCTGTCGAAGCGCGTTTTCCGCGATTCCCGCCGCTTCCCACACCGGTCGGCAGCGGTAGAGGCGGTGGGTATGTAGCAGGCAGAGATGGTGCTTTAAACGGAAAGGCTTGCAACGGGAAAGCGGTGTTGCGTAGGCGGTCGCTGTCGTGGTCAGACCTGTCGTCGTCGGAAAGCGAAGAGGACAATTACGGGGATACTCGAAAGGCGCCAGGAGGCAGCAGGAACGGGGCGGAAGGTACTAGCACTGTCGCGATTGGCAGTTGCAGAGGGGGCGGGGAAAGCTGTGGCGGAAGCAGGGGGAAAGACCGCATTGGATTGATTTCGCGCGCGTCAGAACGGGGGAGTGTTGGGGCGGGAACAACAGGGGCGGAATGGGACAGAGATGGAGCGGCGGACCGAGCGGAGGGGCACGCGCGGAGGATCTGTCAGCGGAAGCGGAACCTAAAGACCCGCGCCGCTGCGGCGGCAGCGGCGGCAGCTGCTGCGGCTGCAGGCGCGGCTTCTATCTTAAAACGCAGCAGCAGCTTAAGACGACAACATAGTCTCAAAGAACCCGGGGTGAGGGACCTCCGCGGTCACGCGCATTCGGAATGGGAAGGGACGGCAGAGGGAAGGGCAACGATGGCGGGTGCGCGGATGCGCGCGGCTACGGATGTCGCGCTCGTAGGAACAGAGGGCGCGCGCGCGGCAACGGGGAACGCGCGCGCGCCCAACACTGCGGAAGTGAGGAGCGTCTCCTTTGCCGCGGGGGAGTGTCAGCGGAACGGACAGGGGGGATGGCATGAAGGCTCGCCGCCAGTTGCGGCGCTTAGGAAGTGCTCGCTCGAGAGCGCGCGGACTCCGCGCATGGGGCAGCGAGGCAGCAGATGCAGCAGTAGCAGCAACGCGCGGGGCAGCAATGGCGCGGGAAAGGGGAGTTTTAGTGGAGCGAGCGGGGCGAACGGGAGGTTTGGGGGAGCAAATGCGGAGAAGGGGAATTTTGCGAGAATCAGCAGTTTGCGGAGCCGCGGGCGGGTCGCGTCCATGCCAGAGTCGGCAATTCGGTCGCTGCTGAGCGGGTGGCAA